TAATCCCCAAAACAATTATTTTTTTCCAAATTGAATAATACCATACATATATGAATGCTCATAAACCCATTTCTTTATTTAACAATAAATTTCAAATGATCATCATCATTGCCATTTATTCTGAAAACTTGTGGGCATACTCAATTTCAGAAAGGCACACCTAAAATATTTGTCTGGTGCCTTAAGGCACACTTAGAAAAAAAAGTATTTCTATCCCTGAATAGGTTTGCTATATAAGCTATAGAACTACGCCAACTTCAGATTAACACTGGTCAAAACCTGAGATTTTGTTAACTTAATTCCATATAAGGATATGTTTTTTAATTAATAATCAATGTGTTTATAGTAGATAGTGAATGGTTGAGAACCTGAAGAAAAATTAGATGCTTACTATATTTGATAAGAGTTTCCTTTTTTCAGTCTATTTTCATCACATTATTTAAACTTCTTTGAGTGGCATTTTAGAAGTTGGGAAGTACAATATTGAACAAACTTTATGTATAACAACTTCTTTCATTTCATTGGTTCAATGTTTCGATACAGATTCTGGGCCGTTGTCAAGCAGGAATGTGAGCTGCTTACTATGGTACAAGAATCTGTACCGAAATGTTGCACCCATGAAATAATAGAAGTTGTTATCCATAAAGTTTGTTCAATACATTTTAAAAATTAAAAACTTCTATGCAGTGAAACCAGAATGACACTAGTGATAAAGTTTCAAAAGGATTTTTGTACTCTCTTTTTCTAATTGAAAGGACATGACAAATTGAAGTGAAATTTGTTAATGCAGAAAATTAATGGTAGCTATCAAGATCAACAATGTTCAAATGAAAACACATTTTTAAAAACAGTTTGAATGTATAGCTATGATGTAACAAACCCTAACTCTTCCCCAATTACTCGTCAGCATCTATAGCAAATAATGTTCATTCCACATGAATCTATTCACTCATGGAAACTTGTGAAGCCCATTTCTGGTGTCCCCCGCCGTGATGTTGCTGGAATATTGCTAAAAGTGGTGTAAAACCAAACTCAGTCAGTCACTCATGGACCCGTGAAGATCTGGGTTTGAATTGATCTTCAGTAACCCATGCTTGTTGTAAGAGGCGACTAACAGGATCAGTGGTCAGCCTTGCTGACTTGGTTGACACATGTCATCGTATCCCAACTGTGTAGATTGATGCTCATGCTGATGATCACTGGATTGTCTGGTCCAGACTTGATTATTTACAGACTGTCGTCATACAGCTGGAATATCGCTGAGTGCGGTGTTAAATGACAAATCATGCAACTATTCACTCATGCATTTACTAAGCTCCTCACAGCAACCTCACCTTCCTTATCACGTTTAACCAAAGTGTTCAACACTGTGATGGAGTTTCCTTATTTAAATTGTTTCCAAATCTCTTACTCTGTGACTGATTTATGGCATTAGGAGATGTGTTTTTAGCAATCTATTTAATGAATTTATTTTTGTGTCCTTCTAATATTGTTTCCAGTGCAGGTTAATAATGTCATTTTATTTTATACATTTCCTACATCAAATAAAATCGGAGTAAAACAAGAATAGACTTTGCAAGAACCACTAAGAAAAGAACTGTACTATGTAAATGACAAGACGATTTTGTTGGTGACTTGCATGTAACAAGCTCGGTCTAATGTTGAAATATTGGCATACCAAACAGCATCACTCATTTTAATGTGAAGTAATTCAACACACGCTCAGTGGGGAAATAGACAAATGAGACTCGGTATTACCCAGCTCCAATCCTTCATCTAAGTTGGACATCAACTGTATTAGTTAAAAGGCAATGAAAACCGTCATTAGCGTTAACTGGAATAGGAAACGAAAGCCAATATTGATTGGACGTGAGTGTATAACACAATGTATTTGTACTTAAAGCCAACTCTTGAATAATTCTATACCGTTTTTACTGGAGCATAAAAATAGGTTACTTTAAGAGGAAACTGTGTATGCTTTGCCTAGGTGAGGCAGCCATGATGTCAATATTTCTTCGAAACATTATTTTTGTTTGGTCCTCGGTCTCTGCTTAAAGAGAATCCTGGGTGAAACTGTTTCCCTAAAGGATTCTGTGTTATTTCCAGTGTAGTAAATATGAGTTCCACAATTTCTATTCTTGGAGTGTTGTAGCACTTTGAACTGCAGGTTGGGGATTAACATGGATACATGGCACTAATTTTCACTTCCCTCTGTGACCATTATGTCAATATTGATGCAAGGATGTGTCAAGGAGAAAATATCAGGATTCTTTATTGCACTACAGTTTTAAAATAAAAGTTGAAAAGCAGTTGGATTCTTTTAATAGAAAAAGGACGTACCTACTTTTTTTTATGTCCAGTGAATAAAATAATCATTTATTTAAGTAAATAAAAAGTAAACAGAGGTGAAATTAAGCAAGAAAAAGGAAATTCTGTTAGAAAATGTTTTGAGATATATTCATATTTTATTCATTTGAGGAAAGCAGATCAATTTTAGATGACACGTCTAGTGGTTATAGCATTGGTCACCACACCAAAGCTCTGGGTTCTGTTCCCCTCATTTTTAACATGAAACCCCCTTTCTATGCAGATGGTACTTGTTGTTTCCCTGTCTAGTGCTTGAAGTTAGCACATGAACCAAGCACCAAATTACCAGCACACAAAGTTAGAATCGGAAGCTATGGTGTTTGTTTGTTTCTTGTTTAACGCTCTACTCAGTAATATGGAACCATGGTGGCGGAGTGGGATGGGGGTTTGGTGCCTCACTTTGAGAGTCTGGGTTCAAATCACAGATGGAACACAACTAGAAAAAAGTAGTAGAATCTAGTGGTGGTCCGATTAATTGAAATAATCGAAGATTGGTCGTAGTGACTAAACGACCAAGCAATCGATCACAATTTCTCATAATCGAACACAAACAATTCTGGAACACTTGTTTTCATTAACAATATATTTCACAAGGTTGGTTTTGTCTGTTACATTTCATAAGCACTACAAGCTCGTTTCAAGTCATGATTGAATTTATCTTAAAGACTCCAAGAAATTTATGTTCCTAACATACTAGTCATCCTTTAAAGATGTGAAATTTTGCCAAAAAACCCGGAGAGAACTACTTGTTTTTTACCTTATTTTTATGTGCATTAACAAATTTCATAAATGATGCCAACCAATTATGTTCGATGATTGATCGGTAGTAATGAACCAATCATCAATTATGAGATTTTAACCAATTCCCAACACTAGTAGAATCGGTATTTAACAGAAAGTGTTATCCTAGAAATAACACATGTCACATTTAACTCTTTACCAGTTAGCACTTGTGTCTGTCTCCTAATCTGACATGTGTATTTTGACATATGGACATGTAGATAAAATCAGACTCCCCAAGACCTAAGTCAGCTGAACATATTCATCATATCTATTACTGGACAAGTAAGATGGACAATAAATGCCCAACACCTTCACATTGCATGACAAGTAATGCTGCCATATTGGATTTCATATATGTGATTGCCACAATGGAATTGTCTTTTATGCCGAAGTCAGCATTTTTACAAATATTTTAGGACAAGAGTTAAAATCCTCAAATCTTGCCCTGACAAACACTTACTTGATCCTGATCCTTATTTAGCCATCTCTTCAATCAAACTGTGCCCCGTGGGAACTAATCTGTCCAAAACCTCCCATTGGGTTTCTCTAGTTATTTTAGAACTTCGAGCATGGAACCGTCTTCTCGGTTTATTGAAAGAGCAAAAGAATATAAAACATGAAATTGACCTTTTTGTATCTGATGACATTTGCTCTGTTCCTCACCAAGGGGCTTGTGCTGCAAAGTTCATTTAAACATCTGCAAATAGTATCAGGGTTAGAAGAAATGAATGGAATAAGAAGCCGTGTCTTGAAATAACCTTTGGTGTTATTTCTTGTCAGTTCATGAATGTTACCGTCGACTTGTGAACATCTGCTTTAATGAAGTTTGTCATGTTATGTTTTGATGATCCACATTCACTGTACAGAGAAGACTGTGTACAATGTTTAATATTGTATTTGGTTGTGTGAATGTAAGCCATTTTTGACATGGGTAAACTAGTACTTGTGTGAAAGTGAGTGAGTGACTTTACTCTTACGCCGCTTTTGGCAATATTCCAGCAATATCACGGCGGGGGACACCAGAAATGGGCTTCACACATTGTACCCATTTGGGGATTTGAACCCAAAATGACAATAGTTCTGTGAACGTTACCAAACACTCTTGGAGATTGGAGCCAGACGCTTTAACCACTAGACTACTCCACTGCCCCTGATAGGACATTTAAGCAAGAAATAGACATGTGCACTCCCCTCCCCTACTTCCTGGTCTGTGTCATTATGCAGTCAGAATTTCTGCTTGAATTGGCAACAATCAGAATAAGGGAATTTGGCCAAGAACATTTGCTTTGGGTATATAAATCATCTAGTTACAAAAAGCTACTCTCCAGAATGTATCACAAGAGGCATGACTTCAATCTACTGGTAGTCAGGTTTTCCTTTATGTTGATCAATGTTCCAGAAGCTCCAGCCTTTGTTGTCTTCATTTCACGATTGAACAACTCTTTCTGCAAACATTTCAAAGAGCATCAAATGACTCTTGCGCAAAGGTTGCTACAGCAGTCATTAGCAAAGCTTAGCAAAGATTTATGGCAGACATGTGGAGGACATTTCTGAATTTTTACATCAATGATGTCTAATTTTATTCCCCATTCTGACTTTACTATGTCCCTGTGTCATTTTCAGGTGAACAATTGATTTGGCTTTGCATGTGTTTGTGACAGTGAGGCAGGATATGCTCACTTTTTCATGAATCCTACATTTTTTAAGTGTTTTGTGACAGTGAATCATAAACACTGCTCTCATAAACAGACTCTCCCTTCAGCAGAGATTTATTATAATTATGGAAATGACTTCATCCCTTTGATTTGTTGTTATGGTGTGAAGTTTACATCAGTCTCTTTGTTTTACAGAACTACACCCACATGGAGCTTGGAATCCTGAAACTGGCAGCTATTCTCATTATAGGTGAGTGTGGGTTGTGGTATTTATGTCATAACTGTTCTTGCTAAGTATGACCCGTGAAGATCCGGGATAGAATAGGTCTTCAGCAACCCATGCTTGCCACAAAAGGCGACTATGCTTGTTGTAAGAGGCGACTAACGGGATCGGGTGGTCAGGCTCGCTAACTTGGTTGACACATGGCATTGGTTCCCAATTGTGCAGATCGATGCTCATGCTGTTGATCACTGGATTGTCTTGTCCAGACTCGATTTTTTACAGACCGCCACCATATAGCTGGAATATTGCTGAGTGCGGCGTAAAACTAAACTCACTCACTCACTTTTGCTAAGTATAGAGAACTATCGAGGGACATAAAAGATTTTAATGCATAATGTTTTGCCATCATTTATGTCCATTCACACTTATTAATTCTCCATCTTGTAAATTATTTTTTAATTTTTATTACATACAAAATGTCAACATAACCTGAGCCTCAATTATCCACTAAAAGAGATGACAAAGGTACTTTGTTTTTAACAAAACATGAACTAAAATCAAAATCAGCATGGTACAAAAGTGTAGTACAGTTGTTTGCGAATGAGCAATTTTAAAAATGGATCCAAACAAAATCATTTAAATATCACATAGTCACAATAAGCATTACATTTATTGAACATGCAAAATGAAGAAAATTTTCTAAACGATATATAATAGTAATATACTTTTGTTTTTCTTTCAGCAAGTGCAGATGTAGGATTTGCTATATGGGATCGCTATGTTCATAAGGAAGTTGTCCCCCCTGTCGGGTATGTGGCCCACCTGATGGGGGCGCTGGCAGGACTAACTATAGGTTTGGTGGTGCTCAAGAACTTTGAGCAGAAGTTACATGAACAGTATGTATGGTGGATAGCTCTAGCTGTGTACCTTGGTTGTGTCGTGTTCGCCATCTTCTGGAATATTTTCTACTACTGACCGTGTTGACCGGAAGTGACTGTGTTAGAGTTCGATGGATGAAGATGCTGACCTTGCAGACTAGATCATCACTTCACTATGTGGACAATCAGTTTTGGTTTTTGTGTATTTATTTCTTACCTTTGATTAACTTTGCAAGCGTTATTTAAAAACTCTTGTGTGGATTGTGTTCATCACGGATGTGTTCAGTCTAATTAGAATCTTTTACTTCGACACAATGCTCCTCTGTGTCAAGATCTGAGGACACTTCTGGAGGAGGTTGCATCAAATGAACCTTCCAATCAACCAGTCAGAATTAAGGTTTCGGAGACAAGCATATCTGATTTGTGGATATATCATACATCCTTGACCCTTTAGAACGTAGCATCTGCACACAAAAGGATGTACTATCAAATGTTTATTTGAGTTGGTAGTATTCTTTTGACTTTCAAATTTCCATGTGGTAAATGAAGCCAAATAGTTTCACAAAACTAACATTTGTCTGGCTCAAGAACCCATCCTTCATTTTGATTGGGGAACCTGAGTTTACCTGACCAGACATACCTGGTATCGTCAGATCTTAACATTGAGACGTATCACCATCAGATCTAAAGATCAGTGAGATTGAGATGTGTTGTTCAGTATGGCCATTCACAGTGATGACTTTTGTGTTATACAGAGTACCTAATCTCAAAGCTGTAGTGCTATAGGTGAGTCAGTTACTGTTTGAAGGTTTAACCAGCCCTGAGCTAACAGTGCTTTACTCATAGCAACTCTAGTCAGACAATGTGTGATTAGCTAACCTGTTACTTGAAACCATTGACTAATTGAAAATATGGATTTTGCTCCAAGAAGTATTTTCTTGCTTGAAGTCATGAGTTAATGTGTTTTAGATTCTTCTATTGCCATGAATCTTAACTGTTTGTGTTAAGGTGAAATCTGAATTTCATCACATAAGGAATCCTATTACAATGCTGTGCTTCAGGTCTTAGTGGAGATACACACTGACTAGTTGACTAGCACTGATCAGTCTTCTAGTCTATCTATCAGGATTCTCTCTCACAGTGAAACAAGAATGTACTCCTTCATAAGCTTGACAATGTGGGGAATCAAGCTTAAAACTGATCCCTACCAAACAGTGCTTGCCTCAACAGGTAACGTAATGGACTGGGTGACCAGGGTAAGTGACCAAGTCATTGTATAAGGATGATGCGTATTGATGCTTGCACTATCAGTCACTGGTTTCTCTTGTCCAGAGTGACTGGAGAGTATCTGGATTATTGCTGAGTGTGAAATTAAACAACCAACAGACATTGAATATTCATGGTCTTGGGAGAATCCTTTCTGACATTATCAAAAATATATCTGTGGTCTAATGAATTATTGTTTGGTTGATATGTATTTTGGTGATTCCATGGAATGGTTCTCTTTGAATTGTTCACCTGTGTCTGGATATCCATTTTAAACAGAGGCATGTCTTATCGATCTGACAGTATATAACTGCTGTAGGCCTGAACTTGTGCAGAGGCGGTGGGGTAGCCTAGTCGTTAAGGCGTTCGCTTGTTATACAATTCACTCACTCACTCACTGGACTTGTACAAACAGCGACATGTACATCTCCATATAAATACGATAATCTTTGACCTGACATTAAACCCAATTTCACCCAGTTGATACAATAGAGAGGTACCTGTTCCAGAAATTAATCATGAACATTACTTATTATTTAATGAATAGTTATGTTTTTTCAAAGAACATATCAGCCTGCCAATATCAGCATCAGTTTAAACTTGTGAACACTTTTAGAAACAAAAATAGACATCTCGGTACATTAGTATCATTGATGGGGAGAGAAAAACGGCTCTGATTTAACCAACATCTTCGAAATTCTTTAAGTGGGTTTTTGGCTGTTCATCAAATTACATCTATTTCCAGATCAATCTTCTGTGCAGTGGTCACGACATCTTCTTATCAGACTTCAAAAAGAGACAGTTTTGAAATCCTGGGGATCTATGAACCAAGTAAATGCAATTAAAAAAATCTTGACACTGTTTTTCCGTGGTCTATATGTAACAGCATCATCAGATATCACTGCAGTCTCAGGGTTGTTTTGTGGGGTCCGGTAGATTGGTAGTGCTGAAATATTGACCATTACAAGGACAGTTGATAGAATATCTACAAGTTATGTAATCTTTTTTACGACTTTGTCAATAGTTTGAACATCTGAGGAATAAACTTAGGTTGATGCTAATATTTCACAACCTGTAAAAACAATTATGGGTTTGGTGTTCATAGTTAACACACCTCTGTTTTATACTATTACGTTTTATGCTGTAAGTAGGACACATGTTAGATGTTATTAAACTTCTTTTCAGTATTATATATACACTATGAAAGTATGAGGTAGGATTGAGGTCCTTGAGTTACACCCTGAAAATGTCAGATATGAATGTTTGAAGTGGGATACGAAAGTTAGCAGACATTTTCAAAATGGCCGATAACTAGACATTTTTCTTTGACTCGCTAATTGTTTACTTCTAACATGATAAACTACATCATCATTCAAAATGAGTGAAAAAGAGTTTTAAGAGTTGAAAAGAACATGAAAATATGAGCAAGCCTGTGATCAAGATGATTTTTTACCGTACATGTGTACTGTTTTTACCAACACCTTCAGAGAAGATCATCTAGGGTCAGTTGCCCTTGTACAAATGAATGCTCCCTGAAAACTTCATATAACAGCCTAAAACATGGCATGTGAGCCTTACCTATGCATCTAGTGCTGTTTGAAGTCCACATCATTGTAATGAACAAAGTCTAATTCTTTCATATGAACACATCTAATATTGTTCTTATGATTGTGTAAATATTTTCCACAGTGCTTAACTTATTTTGGTGGTGGGGTAGCCTAATGGTTAAAGCGTCCATTCATCACCCTGAAAACCCGGGTTTGATTCCCCACATGGGTAAATACGTGAAGCCCGTTTCTGGTGTTCCCTGCCGTGATATTGCTGGAATATTGTTAAAAGTGGCGTAAAACCATACTCACTCACTCACTCACTCCTAACTTATTTCATGTGAAATCATCACACATTTTCACACTTTACATCTTTTGATGTACCCCAGCATCAATTGCTGATGATGCTGACTGTAACATACAGAGATGTATTATACTCAAAATTTGACAGGAATACACACATTAATTTATGACAATCTTGTAACTAATATTTGTATATTGATAACAGTGAATTTTCCAAATGAGTAATATATTGAAGAACATTACCTGGGGGCTTATAACATAGCAGAATGGTTAGTCCAGATTTAACAAGATGGAAAAATCTTTACAGTATCCAAACCATTCAAACAGAAAATGATATTTTAATAATTTGAAATACTTTAGAGACACTTCTCGGCTCTGTGTTTAATAACAGCTTTGAAACTTTATCAAATTATGTAAAGTCATCTTTGTTGAGTGGCTATTAATATTCAGTTATCATCATGCTATCAAACCAGCAAATGCAATTTCAGCTGTAATGTGTCTCGCTAGAGTTATTAATTTAGTTATTATTGGTATTTTTATTAAATTCATAATGCTCTGTAAGAAAGCATGTGTTGTCAGTTTCTGAGAGTACTGCAATGGCAGCTTAAAGTGTTGTGTGGCTTGGCTCTTAACCAGTTGTCATATGATGGTATCCCGCTTCAGTTATTGATTTTGAACACTGCCAATTATGAATATTTCATTTTTCAAATTAAAAACAAATGAGGTCATATCACATCTGGAAGATAAGAGATACTTGAAACTTATTGCTTTGGTACAAAACCACATTTGAAGATAATCTATTTGAAGATAATTTGTGGTACAGAAACAAAGAGTAAAACTGTTTCATGATACAATTGTTTCATGATACAATTGTTTCATGATACAACTGTTTCATGATACACTGTTTCATGGTACAACTGTGTCATGATACAACTGTTTCATGATACAACTGTTTCATGATACACTGTGTCATGATGCAACTGTTTCATGGTACAACTGTGTCATGATACAACTGTTTCATGATACAACTGTTTCATGGTACAACTGTGTCATGATGCAACTGTTTCATGATACAACTGTTTCATGATACACTGTGTCATGATGCAACTGTTTCATGATACACTGTTTCATGGTACAACTGTGTCATGATACAACTGTTTCATGATACAACTGTTTCATGATACAACTGTTTCATGGTACAACTGTGTCATGATACAACTGTTTCATGATACACCTGTTTCATTATACAACTGTTTCATTATACATCTGTTTCATGATACAACTATGTCATGATACAACTGTGTCATGATACAACTGTTTCACGATACAACTGTTTTATGATACAGCTGTTTCATGAAACAAATATTTCAATACACTTACACAAAGTGACTGATATCTGCAAAAAGAGATTGAGCATCATCTGGAATACATGATTTTACAGATTGATATTTGTGTACATAACATATCATCTTTAAGAAACTATATAGCTTTATGTTGCTTTATAACATATCAGGAATAAAGGAGAATCTCTTCTCAAATTAAATTCCCCTTAAAGATGCTGTACATCTGAAGACACCCAGACATTTTACCAGAAAAAGATCAGAAAAACTGAATTTAATAACTACATTTCGGAAACCTATGAAGTCAATCTTCAATCCAATTTAACACCAGTATACTTAAATCTTCAAAGCGAGGAGTTTAGAGTTATGCTTCTAAAGATGCTAATATCGATAAACGCGAACATGAATACTTTTAATGGTTGTCTTTGATCACGAGTGTAAGTTTGATCAAAATGGATATATGAGATGTAGATATGGACCAAAACCCCTTTGACTTATGTTTTCTTTTATGTTTTACATGTTTTTCAACCTTTTTCATATAGGTAGTAGACATATAAATTGCCATGGTAACCTCTTGGAGTATTTTTGATGTCAGCCATTATAAATGAATTAAGATTTTCATCAAATTAGCTTGAACAAAAAAGCAGCTATGTTCATTGTAGTTATTATTTTGTTGCATGCATTGTATGTCACAAACTTCACACTTGTGTCTATCCACTTGCTTGTCTCTGGCAGGTCTTAATGTAGGTTGAGCAAGTACATGTAGTCATATGATGGAAATGTCATAAATAATTATTATGGCCTTTTGAACATGAAATATCCTGAATTTATGTGAAGAAAATGTTATAACTCAGGGATTTTTCTTGTTTTCATATTTACATTTAGATTGGTAGTCGATGTGTGTTTGGCATTGAGTATATGACGTGTATGTCCAAACATACATTTTTCTTCTCTCTTGTGTGTTAATACTAATATGTAAAGTAGAATGTTTATTCATTTTTAGTGTGAGTTGATTCATTGATCAGTCGTGATCATACACTGGCATTTCACATCCAAGTGATGACTTATGTAATTCTCTGCAATGTAATGATACTTTGTAAAACTTGCGGATGCTATATAAGCATGTACATACATTGTGTTCTAATAGCGCTGTTTATCTCAAAACAATTTAAGAAAATTACCAAGGTCCACTTGCACAAAGCGATCTTAGTGCTGAGGTGATTGTAACTCCCATACTTTAACTTAAACTTACAATCATTGTAACGCTAAGATCGCTTTGTGCAAGTGGATCCTGATTAACAAATTGTGAAGAAATTATGTTTTGATAATATTTACTTTCCTAACATCAAGTCAGTTCACTAATCTAAGGAATACAAAACTCTGAAGGTAATAAATATATATATTTAATAATATTTTTATGTTTATCTCTGTTTCACCAAATGATGCTACTTATAAATGACTTGTTTAGAAAATATGCTGATTTTCTTTTTAAAAATTAACAAGGACCCGACAGGAAATGGAATAATAAATGAAGTCGGAAGTTTAATGTATTTTTGTAACCTTGTTTCACCAACTGATACAAGTTTTAAAATACTTTTTAAAAAGTATGCTTTAGAATCATTTTTGTGAATTTGTTTTGACCAGTACTATACACTGAGAGTGTAAGTGTAACGTAAGTTTGTGCTGAGCTGCGGAGGCAGCTGCTTGGATGGCGGAGATGAAGATGGTCGATATGTTCAGGTCTGTCTGGCCGTTGTATATGATATTAATAATCACATTATGCACATATATTATACATGATACAGTCATTATGTGTACCATTGTCTTATGTGGTCATTGTAAATATCATATCATTCTTCTTGTCATTTTCTAATAAATGATCAATTTTCACTGTTTTGTCTTTTTTAGTATCTGCATTATTAATGGATGATGAACTTAACACAGGTAAGCTGATAATGTTCCCGGAAACTATTTTTATCTGGTAGCTTGACATTCCATTGTATGTGAAAGGGGGAACAGGTAGTTCTGTGATGTCACAAGTTGGTGTGTGGAGTTATGTCCCTTACCTCCCAGGTATAGGATGAGTTTGAATCCCTGATAATGGTCCTAGGTTTGTGAGCACCAAACCTGTGTTTATGGGTTTTGTGAAGTCAGTAAAAGTGGAAACATAACCAAATTTTCTTGTATAATCAGGTTGACACCCCTCCCTCCCTCCCTCACTACTCACTCACTCACTTACTCACCATATGCTGAAGTTATAAGATGTACATTGACCTCCTTTGTGGTCTAATAGATGGAGCATTTGCCAGGAAATCTTCTCGAAAAGTCATGAGTTTGACCCATGGTCGCATCATACCAACAGAGGGCGGTGGGGTAGCCTAGTGGTTAAAGCATTTGTTCATTACGCTGAAGACCTGGGTTGGATTCCTCACATGGGTGCAATATGTGAAGCCCATTCTGGTGTTCCCACCATGATATTGCTGGAATATTGCTAAAAGTGTGGTAAAACTTCACTCACTCACTCACTCACTCGAACCGCCTCCGTGGTGTAGTGGTTAGAGTGTCTGCCCGGAGAGTGGAAGGTCGCGGGTTCGATCCCCGACCGCGTCATACCAAAAGATGTTAAAATATGGTACTTTTTGGTCCCTGCCTGGCGCTCGGCATTAATGGGTACAACAAGTACTGGTCGGCTCGGAGTCAGTATAATGTGTCTGAGTGGGGTATTCATGCTTCACTGCGGCATGGTATCTCAGTGGGCTAGCACTATAAAACCAGTTAAGTCTGGGCTAGTACAAGCAGCCGCACATACACATACGCATGCACGTCGTCATATGAGCGAAATATTCTCAAGCACGACGTAAAACCCAATTTCACCTCACCTTCACCTCACTCACTCACTCACCATATGCTGAAGTTATAAGATGTACATTGACCTCCTTTGTGGTCTAATAGATGGAGCATTTGCCAGGAATCTTCTCGAAAAAGTCTTGAGTTTGACCCATGGTAGCATCATACCAACAGAGGGCGGTGGGTAGCCTAGTGGTTAAAGCATTTGTTCATCACGCTGAAGACCTGGGTTGGATTCCTCACATGCGTGCAATCTGTGAAGCCCATTCTGGTGTCCCCACCATGATATTGCTGGAATATTGCTAAAAGTGTGGTAAAACTTCACTCACTCACTCACTAACTCACTCACTCACTCGAACCGCCTCTGTGGTGTAGTGGTTAGAGCGTCCGCCCGGAGAGCGGAAGGCCGCGGGTTCGATCCCCGACCTCGTCATACCAAAAGACGTTAAAATATGGTACTTTTGGTCCCTGCCTGGCGCTCGGCATTAATGGGTACAAGGACTGGTCGGCTCGGAGTCAGTATAATGTGTCTGAGTGGGGTATTCATGCTTCACTGCGGCATGGTATCTCAGTGGGCTAGCACTATAAAACCAGCTTAAGTCTGGGCTAGTACAAGCAGCCGCACATACACATACACACACATGCACGTCGTCATATGAGCGAAATATTCTCAAGCACGACCTATAATCCAATTTCACCTCACCTTCACCTCACTCACTCATACTAACAGATGTTCAAAAATGGTACT